GTAATCAATGTAATGTTGCATTTTTAAAAAGCGCAGACAACTGTGTTTGTGACAGTGATGCATTGTTACATCTGAATCTGACAAGAGGACTGTGGGCGTCTCTTGAGAATTCACATCTAAGGTGTGAATATTCATACTTTAATTTCTACAAAAATACTGCATTTTTACTGTTGTTTATGACTTAACCACTCCTCAATAAATGAAGAGGAGAATTGAAACGCAGACAAGCTGTTCTCAGAAGAAGGCCTAGACAGTTGATTAGACATAAATGCTTGAATTTCTCACCTCCATAAACTAGGACAAGGAAAACATTGAGCTGAAGAGACATATTTTGTAACATTTGCACATAGAAATGTATTAAAATTACTTATTTGATTGAGTTTTACATTTCCAACAAGTTACCATAATATTCATAAACCATGATGAAGATTTTTGGACCTCGTTGGACGTCTGCATCTTCAGTTATTAGAGAAACAAGCTGAGCTAAGGTTAGCATTTAGCTTGTAGTACAATCATCCTGCTCACCATGGAAACCCTGATTGTTTTATGTAAAAACAATTTATTCAGTGTTTCTACTAGTATGAATCATCATGTTAGTTTTTTTTAGATGAGGAGACCAGATAATTCAGTCACTGGTGAAAACTGTTCTCTTAAGTTTAAAAAAAATAATTGCTGAGCACACTTTAGCGTTTAGCTAGCAGCCGCTACGTCATGGGTCAACCAAAAATAACACTGATTTCTAACACAAAACTGCTTTATTGTATTAGCTTTACTAAATGCGTGCAGTTGTTTTTGACCTTTGGACAATTTGGCTTTAGTAAAAACTTCCTAAACATTGTAGTAATCCTAACCAGGAAAAGCGAAGGGCAATTCTTTCACACACAGTGACGTCACGAGCTACCCACAATGCAACGCGCGCCATATATATATATATAAATACGCCATTTTCCTGGAGGTGCAAATATCCTGGAGGTGCAAATATAAACAGCTAGCTAATGTAGCCAGGCAGAGCGCACTAGGTTTTTTTTCTGAATTAACGACCGAAGAAATCGCTGCATGTCTTCGGATTACATCTCTGGACTTGAGGGGTGTGCTCTAGGTCGTTACCAGCGTAAACTAGAGCTGTGTGGGTTGTCCGATTGCCCTTACAGACTGCCTGCAGATGTATGGAAAAACGACCCTTGAAAGTGGCCTTCGTCGATTTTGGCTACATCTACGTCTATCTTCTGGAAACACCAGGTGAATACCCCACTTGTCACAATACTATTATCATGCCAATGCATATATGTGGTATTTTAGAGTTGACTAGATATTGATTAAGGCAATAGACTATGATATTCTGCTTGCACCTCGTGTGAAATGGCGGATACCGGAAGTACGGTGTCGCCCTCGGCCCAAAACCCGTATGTGTGTGTGAAAGAATTACAATTCACAATATCTGCTACACCACCAAACAGCTCATGGTGGTAGAAAATGACATATGCTCGTCACAGTAGATTAAAAAACAAACAATAAAAAACATCTGTTATGAGGTTGCAGCCATGGTTGCAGCTCACAAAAACACACACTATCAGGGCAGGGCACCTCCCATGAGTACGCTAAAAGCAAAGCATTCAAAGGCACTCTGCTCCTCGATCAATGGAGAGTTGCCTGCCAGGCTGTTACTAGAGACCTTTACACTCTGTGGTTTGATGAGGCTCTGACTCAACACCAGCAGAGTGCTGCTGGCCATCAAAACAAAGCCTGAGTCTAAAGCTTCACATACTCCATCATGCTATAGGCTACGCATTTCAGATTGAGACACATTTAACAACAAAGAGATACTACAAGGCAGAAAGTGTTATAAAAATTACGCCAAACGCCTAAGGGAAGCTTTTCAAACGTTGGGAAATCTTCAGTGAGTTGTCAAAACGAAACAAACATCACAAGATAGTTGTGAAACATTCATACAGCTCGTAAGTCAGTAGCTAGTGTTCACAATGATTGACTTTATACCTTAATACTTGTTTACCAGGGCCAGGGCCGGACTGGGACTCTCCTCCACCTTGTTGTTGAAACAGCTCCTTATATCCGTTAGCGCAGCTAGCTAGCACCAGATGCTAACAACAATAATAGCCTACACGTAACCGGTGCGCGCGCTTTCTCTCTCTCGCTCGCTCGCGCCACACATACACACACCCTCCCGAGCTTGAATGACAAACAGAGACCAATCGAGGGCATTAGTGTATGGTCTGTATGAAAGTGGCCATGTCGGCAGGCCACATCATGTACAGCCAGTCACCCTCTGTGAGGCAGAGTCAGACCCACATTTGCGCAGCGTTGCGTTCACAATACATACATAAAAATAATTCCTCAGGCCAGCAGGCCACTTAGCAGGCCAGGCCATCGGGAAACCTCCCGGTGCTCCCGATGGCCAGTCCGGGCCTGACCAGGGCTTATTACATTTGCTAACTTTAGTTTCAGGTTTTCAGATTAAGATTCAAACAAAATGTATTATATGTCTACAAAACGTGTAGGCTATTTATTAAAGAATATAATGGGAGGCAATAGTGTATATGTTTAAGAGCACTTGAGTCTATTATGGAAATAGGTCAGATTTACATAAGCACAGACAAAGGCTCAATTAAATGCATATACATACAGAACTATGAAACATAAGCACATAAGCATGGATAAAAGCTCCTGGGGAAAAAACTATTAGAAAACAATGACATACTGTAACCACTACTCCAGATTATGAAAACATGTTTGAGTGTCTTTTGAGATGGAGAGGAGGTCCTCAGGTACAGCACGGTAAACATTAAAGCCCATGGATATTGATAATGATAACTTAAAGGTGGGGTATGTCATTTATTTCCGAAACACTTTTTGTTATATTCCATGGAATGCTCTTAACATCCCGATAGCAATGAATACATGAAATGCTTTGACAATAAATACACAAAACAATTTCATCTGTGGAAGCAGTAGCGCTGTAAAAAGCACGACCAATCATCTGAGCCGGCCCGGCTAAAGTAACTGGATGGCCTACCTGCCTGTCAGCCTTCCATCTGTGCACACACTTATCTCGTGCCCTCATTGGTCATGTGCGCGTTCGTGTGTGTTGGAGGAGGGGCTCTGTAAGGAAGTAGCAGATTTCTTCCGGTTGTGTATTTTCAAATTCTAGCGCACTCGAGCTGGTTTCTCCAAAATCACCTACCCCACCTTTAAGTAAAGAAATAAAAAAACAGGAAACAATCGACATAGGAACAAGGACATACACGTGCTCGCTTCATCCCAAACAACACCAACATAACATGAAAATAATGAACAAAATATTAAATAATCTGAGTGAGTTTGAGCATCATTATTTAAATGAACTCTTTTTTAATTCTATGCATGAAAGTATATAGTAGAAATACTGAAGTAAATAAAAACCTGGAACTAAAAATGTTACTTGAATTATTCATTGCTCCTTTTCTAGGTTTTTAATTACATATGTTTTTCATCATTAATGCATGCATTTTATTGTTGTGGTTCGTCAAACTGGAGCCAATCTTTTTAAACTAATATTATGCTTTTTTAAATTTAAAACGTGTCAAAGAAATGCAGTGCAGTAATAGGTAGCCGACACGTACTTTACACAGTAGTTAGAACCACTATTTTCAAGTAGTTAACTCAAGTTTCTTCCCCATCAGTGTTAAATATCAACATGCTTCAGCCCAAAACAAATGTATTGGAACAATATTATGCAAAATATTGCAATGTGTCTCAAAATGTCAAACCAACTTTTATATTTTCTTAATGGAATATCTGTTAAAGCTGCTGGAGTTATCTCGGCTTGCAGACTGCACTTTAACCTCTTAGTCATTGTAAAGTTGCGTGTGTATTTAATATTTATGACTTACTCTGTACTCAAGTCTAAACTCATGAATAATTCTACACACACGGTGCCACATACTTCTGGAGCTCACTGCAGGTTTTACACCAGCAGCAGACTGAATTATTTACTGATGAATCACGCTGGAGCACGAGAACATTAATGTGTAACTAATCCATACATATTAAAATGGGTAGTAAATCTTCTCTTGTTCTCGGACACTCTGTTTGTGTGTCGACTGGAACAAAGCCCTGGACACAGTGTGGCTTTATTTTCAAACATTAGTTTTGCTAATGTTTAACTGTGTGTAGTATTGTGTGTAGTTATATATATATACTTTGATAGAACAACCATGTTGTGTTGAGGTGGCATTATGACTACGGTACATCTATTTAGTTTATTCCTTTTCTACACATTCTACACAAATGTAGCTTTTGTTGATATCGTTGATTGGCAAAAATCAGATTTTTGTGATATTTTTTTTCTCTTGACAAATATGTTTTACTGCAATAATAAATACTGAGAATCCCAAATTAGGTTTAGGACTTTTTAAATGCTACCCCGCATTAAAATGTGTAACATTTTGGAGCAATTTTAGGCGCCATTTTCCGCTATCAGCATGACGCTTTAAAAAAGAAAAAAAGTATTACAAAACATTTTTTATTTTAGAATTGACAAAGCAATTTGAGAAAGAAATAAACTAAACTCCTACTTCCCATGTGTTAGCATTTTTAAATAATCTATAGTCAAAGTCAGGCATTATTTAGACTAAAGCATGCCAAAAGGCATCTGTGTGACATGCCTGTAAGTTAAACATTGTCATGACAAGGTTAATACTAATTGTAAGATGTCTCCCTTAATGAGCTAAAGCATTTAATTAAGTGTTAAGAAAATGAAACATGTGTTTTTCCTCGTTCACAGCTTAGCAGACACACTGATGTCTGCAGGTCAACAGAGTAATCATTTACCCAGAAACTTAGAGAAGCATGTGATGTAGAAATGAGCCAGGTCAAGCAGAGACTGCCAGACCACAGCAGCCCGAAGTCAGCTGACTGACGCGGCGAGGAGGAGGAGGAGGAGGAGGAGGAGGAGGAGGAGGAGGAGGAGGAGGGATATGATGAAACACACCAGGACTGCAGGCAATGAAGCATAAAGGACCATTTATTGTACCCAGTACAGATTATCATAAACTCAGCAGTGTCAGAAACACATTGTGAGGGGAGGGGACTGAAGCCTATACAAGTGCAGACAATCCCTGCGCCTGGAGTGGAGCCCATGATATAATGTGTGTGTTCACCTTTGATGGAACTCCGCCCTTCACACACACACACTTTTACAGGCAAGGGAATAACATCGTCTCCTCCATTCTCCAACCTTGAGGCCTCTTAAAGAAACAGTCTGCAGTAGTAGCATCGTAAAGGATGGAGGTTTAAAAAGCTACATTGTCTATGAGAGCCAGAACTATACAGCTTTTACATTAAAATCAAAACAAATGCAGCCTTATAGCAAAAATATATACTTTATATACGTTTGTCTTCGCCCTCCCCCCATATTAAGAAACATACATAATGAACACAGACAAAAAAATGCAGAGAATATCACAAATATCTTCTTTGTCCAGAGACAGGAAAGCGATATGTTAGTGGACACAGTGTTACACCATGCAGAGAGAAGCCTCCTGTTGACCACTTGTGACTGGCAGAGGTGTCCGAAAGAAGGAGAACGTCACCCTTCTTTACTTAGTTTTTACTTTGCATGCAACATCCCGATGCAGCCTGCCATACTGGTGCATCAGAGTAACTAGGACACTGCCGAGGAAAACATGAAGCACCCAGACAGAGATACAAAATAAAAAACAAACAAGAGCAACGTGATCTTTTATCTTACATCAGGGGAAATACTTGCATCCCTTTTGAAATGGAGGAGATGGAGTGCTAATCATCTCTAAAACTTGGAGCGGTATAATAAAAAGGGACCCAGCGGTGATGAGCAGACATGAGGGGTGTACTGTATAGACTGCCGTCTCTAAAGGGAAGCGGATACAATCTCTTACACGGGCAGAAGCGGTTAAAGAACGTAACATGTACACGAGAGAGAGCAGCCCAACCAACGAGCCTGAAATACAGCAACGCCCCAGAATCCTGAGAGGCCTGGGTCTCTAAAGAACAGCTGGCGGATGCAAACTAAAATGTATGTACAGAAAACTAACTGATTTGTGAGTTTAGAATGTTTTCCATCTTGAATCCGAGTTATGCAAATTAAAGCCCTTTCACGGATGTGGCGACATAAGAATGGGGCGACCCAAAAAAGGCAACTATAGAATAGTGCTGCATTTAGAATTAGTTTTTATTTCAAACTCTATTGGTTACTTGATTGTTTTTAAGAAAAGCAGATTGTCACAAAATCAGAACGACTCTTGTACAAAGGTCAGTTCATTTAAAGATGGCGCCATGTGGCTTTGCTTTTATTTGGTCTCTGCAGCAGAAGCGGCCTCTTGCAGTCCAGTTCCTCTTCACTGATTACACAACCTCTCTCTTTCACTCGCAGGAGAGGAGCTCTTTCCCCCTCATTCATTCGTAGCTTGGGAGCTTCATCAGAGTTTTGTCCAGGGAGCAGGAGAGGAATTTGCCCTCCAAGCGACTCAGCAAGTTCCAGCTCTGGATTTTTTTCGGGCGACTTTGGGAGTGTTTGCGTGTCCATGTGTGTTTTGCTTTTAGTAGCCGTAGCCGTCGGGGAAGGGCAGACCTGCCACACACTGCTCGCTGGCGTCCAGCAGGTAGGGGGCGTTCTCCTCGTAGTGAGTGAGGGGCACCGTGTCCTCCTCGGGGCTCGGCAGGCTGTCCGGGTCCACCTTCAGGTTGGGCCTCTGGTTGTCGGGGAAGGCCATGGAGAAGAGAGCCTCGGGGTCGCACACAAACTTGTACACGTACCTCTCACCGGCCACCTGAGGGACATCAGAACACACATATTTAATTGAATGTTTAAGCATTTTAGCTTTCGCTTCCCTAATTGCTGGGCGACTTATGAGGTGGAAGCAGGAGGCGTCTCCTACTCATGTCCAGTGGGTGACAGAACTTATGAAGTTTCTACACATGGAGAAAATAAAGTGTACTTTGGGTGGCTCCACTTGTACATTTTATAGGACATGGCAACCATTTTGTACGTACATGGAAAGTTTGAAACGGTGTACTTTTTAACTGAATTAGAACACAGATGTTCTGTAGTCAACCATTTATCTCAACCTCTTTATGTATTTTTGTTTATTTCTTTTGTGCTGTGATTTCAACCATTTGTTTGTCTATCATTTTAAATGTTTTTGTACTATTAATCTCCTCTTATTCCGTGGGGGGGGGGGGGGGGGAGGGATACAAACAAATGGACAACACTATGTGTTGTTTAAGATTGAGCATATTATAGTAAAACTCACATATTAAGTCATCTGAGCCAGTCATACTTTTATTATGATCAAATCTTTCTTATTCTGATCTGAGGCAGAAAATACTTCCCATAGATATAATAATACACAGGATTATATATTTAGTAGAAGAAGCGGGCTAGAGTTAATCATTCAGACTCTATGGGACATAATAGGACATAGTTGCAGAGGGGTGGGGGCGTGGGGAGAGAAAGGAAAAGGGGTGAACGTGCCTTTACCTTCTGCATGATGCCCTTCTCGTAGTAGTAGCGCAGCGAGCGGCTCAGCTTGTCGTAGTTCATGGCCGGCCGGTTCTTCTGGATGCCCCAGCGCCGAGCCACCTGAGGACACGGACACACAAACACTGATTTAGGAGCTGCAGCGAATTCAAGATTCAAGGCTTTCATTGTCATGTGAACATAGCTACAGTGTAGTTATGACAAGGACATTCTTAGGTCACAGGCTCCTCCAACAGTGCAACACAATAACACATAGCAGTGCAAGTAAATCAAATAGAATAGAATCCAAAGGTAGTACACTTCTGGTAGTAGGAGATCTGGACAGAAGACATGAGTTGTTTGAAGGACTCACCCTCCTCAGGGCGCGGTTCACGTCAGTTTGAACTCCATGCCGCGGCCGGTTCTCAGGCGATGACTGTCCGTTAGCCGGGTCGGTCCAGTAACGTGACCAGAAAATGCTGCTGCCAGAGCTGCAGAGGGAGCCGCGGCGCTGGTAGGGGGTCCCGTCACGAAACGGCAGAGGGCTCCTGCTATTACTTACCTGTGTGAGAGAGAGAGAGAGAGAGAGGAGAGAGAGAAGAGAGAGAGAGAGAGAGAGAGAGAGAGAGGAGAGAGAGAGAGAGAGAGAGAAGATAGAGAGAGGAGAGAGAGAGAGAGAGAAGAGAGAGGAGAGAGAGAGAGGAGAGAGAGATAGAGAGAGAGAAGGAGAAGAGATAGGAGATAGAGAAAGATAGGAGCGTAACTAGAGAGAGAGAGAGAAAAAGGAGGCAGAAGGAGAAGGAAAAGTGTCAGTGAGGACTGTACTCAGTGTGGTGAGACATTCCTGCCAGATGGACACTGTGAAGTGGACTCGCTGTTCATTATGCACCGAGAGCAAAGCCAAAGGACTGGACTCAGAACATGTTCAACAATATCTGGTACTTTTGGGCTAGATATTTTTTTACGATATTTTATCAGATTTGTTTATACTTGGTGGAAGGGTGTAGCACAGACTTACACAGAACTAGTTACATTTTGCAGCAGATCTGAATCAATTGGCTATTTTATTAACATTGAAAGATAGGCATTTGTCCTTCATTCATGTAGGGTTAGAATAATCAGAAATAGGAGTTAGAGACCAAGCCCCCAGGAAATGCGCCAGACTCTGATGAAAATATTCGTTGTGTCCAAACGGCGGTACGACAACTTCCGTATCAGTCCGTGACGTCACTGGGCCCAGAAAGACTTTTCCCCATTGACTAACATGGGGAAAGAGACGTCTGTAAATCAGCAGATACTTTTTTTTAACTAAAGAAACTACCCAGTATGAACTATTTTACAGCCCTTATTATAATCATTAGGTCCTTAAAGTTGTAAAATGCACTAAAAGTCGAATCTAGATGTATTTTCTGTCTCCATTCATTCTACTGAGGAGAGTGGGAGCTCGGGGGGCGGGGCTTAAGGGGCGCATGCTCTGTGAGCGCACATACGGGTTCTGCTTAGACAGCCAGGCATGATGGGTAATCTGTGACGTTTCGCTCTCTCAAAAGTTTGGCCATTTTGTCCTCATGCGCCAATGAGCAGCTCTCATAGGAAAGAACGAGACCCCGCCTCCCACGCTGTATCCAGTTCTTATTACACATCCATGTTAGAGACTGGGAGAAGTCACATTAACTCCCCCTAACATCCTAAACGAGAACTATTCTGACACAGCTATTAAAGTGGTTATTAAACTTTCTGATTATTAAAAATGCAACACCTCATGTTGTGTGTGTTACCAATTGAAGCTCATAAACACACAGAGGTCAGAAGACTAACTTCCAAATGCGTGAGGTAGGGTCCTATTAGGGGTCAGTAAATGCTACATTGGCTTTGGTGGATCTGCACTTTATACATTCATTTGTATTCCCAGTCTTACCTTCTAGTCTCTCAGGGACCACACAGGTGTCGTCAAAGTACAGCTGAGTCTCTCTGTCGAAGGAGAAACCTGCAATGGAAGAAAAAAAGAAATGCAACATTAATGGGATGACGAGCAGATAGAGCGTGGGAACCAGAGACCCAGAGACCCAAACCGCATGCAAAGCAATATATCTGGGCAGCTTCCCAAGACTGGAAGCTTATATTGAGCTGAGCTTGTGCCAACTGCTGATGTGAGAGATGCACAGTATGTGTGGAGCAGCGACAGATTCATTGATACTTTCACTTCCCCTCCGAGCTGTCATTTCATCGCTGACCCGATATCCTCTCGCCCAATACTGCGCTTTAACCCGCTCCATGAGCCAGGGGGTCACAGCCAGAAGGACCTGGCTGAATGAAATCATTCTGAGACATAACTTACTTTCATGGTTATTTTGGAAGAAGCTCCCCGCTCTCCCAAACGATGACTGACAGTTCGGCACTTCTGTAAACAAAGACAGAAGATACATTTAGACCAGAGACTTCCTCACTGTCATATCAGATGTTTAATGCTTCAAATCCGCCGTGCAGCTGACAGATATTTCTGGATCGATGCCACCGAGTACAAAGAAACACAGCTTTGATAATTGTCTGCCGTTTATAGACAGTCAGTCACACACGATAGAAGTGTTTCAAGTCACAATAAACACATGGTGGATGCTATGTGTATGGAGTTAAGGTGGATACGTTACAACAATCTCAACAGGGATTTGGATCATTCGTTTAATTTACAAACATGCAATGAGTTAGCTCTCCTTATAGCCACCAGACTCTTCTGAGAGAAGGCTGCTTTTTTGACCAATCAATGGCCGACTTAGACTGCAGCTCCGACAGCTGGACAGAAAATGTACAAACACTAAATCTTCAATCCGAATACACTGCACACAACATCCCCCGCATGTCCACCAAGCCTTTAAATAAGATTAGCACCATGGTTGCTGTATTCAATCTCAATGACAATCGAGTTACACCAGTCCGCCCCCCGGGGGGTCAAGGCCTGTCTTCCGTTTGTAGTGTCTCTGCAGTGAGCATCCCCCCCCCCATCTATTATGCTGCTTCCTGTCTGCTGATAAGGCAACCACACATCAATCTTGAGCAAGTGTTTCCTTAAGTCTCTGTCTCCGCTTGTCCTCACTTAAGAGAAGAGTCGGCAGGAAGTCACTGGTGGAGCCGAGTCGAACCATGCGTGAGGAGAAAGACTTCCTCTGTTCAATGCATCCATTTAGATGGTGGCTAATTATCTCCTACATGAATCCGTTTCCTAGAGCACCAACAATAATGGCAGATAAAGACATTTATAGTCACTTGGCCTCTAACTGTTTGCTATGGTCAATTAGAAGATACAGATCTGTAAAGCTCCACAAAGCACCGCTTCAAATCTTGTGCTTTTAAAACATAACAACACAAACCAGCCCTAATAAAAAGAAGCTCTGGTTCAAATGAGCAGTGTGAGAACATATTGCTACAGTGCGTCCAAGCTGCATTTGATATAACAGTTGATAGGCAAAGATTGGTAGCAGATACTAGTAGATTAGGAGAAATAGTAAAAACATATCCCATTGATTTGAATGATACATTTTGATGAACCATTGCTGCATTACGCCGGCGTGTCCTCCGTTATGAAACGTTTCATAGATAAACCCACTAAATAAGGCCTTGTTTACAGCAACACTAATGTGAAGTTGTATCGTGATAAGTATGGCGGTTACACGGCCCTGCTGCTGACATGATGATCCATGTTGGCATGCCCTCCATTCACCCATGTTCAGATACGAGGCCTGTGTGACGTAGGTATTTAAAAGGCCATAAGATGCTAAGAGGATTTGCGGTGATTACGTCACTGAGCGGCCAGCCGGTCGGCCAACAGGCAGAAAGGGAGTGATAGAAAATACTGGAGTGAGAAAAGATTACAAATAAAGTTGTTGCAGGAAAAGAGGATGTAGGGACAACAGCTGGGTGTGTGGGCGGTCGGATCAAACAGAGCAGCGACAGTGGCTCCGGCTTGTTTGATTGAAAGTGAGTAAACAGCCTCTGTTTGCCGAGGCTTTGTGCAGAGGACGGGCGCCGGTTGGCCCCTTCGTGCATTCTGTATAAAGCAGAAATCTGCAGGCTCTTACGATCATCTCTCTGTGCCGCAGGTCACTCAGTCCTCTGAGGGCTGCGACCCAGATCTATTCCAGGTAGGCTCAGTGAAGACGTTGCCCGCACCTGGCTGCGTGACCCATTTCCTTTTTGCCCTTTGAGGCTTAGGCTGAGATAAAAGTCCCACTTTTACTTTGCTGGCATGCCTCTGGAGGAACCATTCAGGCTTTAAGGGGGAGAGAGTGTGTGTGTGTGTGTGTGTGTGTGTGTGTGTGTGTGTGTGTGTGTGTGTGTGTGTGTGTGTGTGTGTGTGTGTGTGTGTGTGTGAAATGAGCACCTGAGTGGCCGTGCTAAAACTCACAGGCGGGTGTTGGCGCCCAGAACAAACACAGAGAGGCACATTCCTCACCCTCTGCCCGCTCCACTTTCACAGCCCTGTACAATGGCTTTCACGCAGCCAGCGATGCACTTCAATGCTTTCTATGCAGAGAAACTAATCTGCAGGAGTAGGGCTGCGGAACTAATCACAACATGGGGTTGTGCAGTATTCAGATTGCAGGAGGTACAATATTTGTTACAGGATAAATATGTAATATATGATTCTGATTTTAGTATTGTGTCGTATCGTTAATCATATTCCAACTATAGTCTAAGTATTGACATTACGTTATTTATTCTCAATTGTGCATTTTCTCCACGGTGACATCTCGAGGAGGTAATGGACCCTTCTCTACTTATTTCATCACCACAACTACCCATCTCTACTCACCAGAATCGAAGCAGAAGTCTCGTGGCTCCTGCTTGATGGCCATGGGGTGGAAAGCTTGGCGCGGGGCCCCCTGTGAAGCACCTGGGGGCCCCATGGAGGGGACGCCCTGCTCTGCGTAGCGCGGGTCGATGAGCTCTTGCTTGAAGCCCTGGGGCGGCACGGCTACCAGCGGCTCGGACATCTGGCGGTGGTACGGCGGCCGGCCGTCGCGGGGCAGGCTGTGGTGGCTGCTGGGAGGCTGGGGCAGGAAGTGGGGGCGCGCCTGGCTCTCTGAGGGGGGGAAAGGGAGGCATGGCTCTGACATCTGCCGCTGGAACCTGGAGATGGAGGGGAAAGAGAGATGAGGTCTCTGTTCAGGAATAATACGCGCAAAGACACGAAATGAACAGAAACACCCCCTCAGGTTTATCACCAGGTAGGTTCACACGTACGAGGAATTTGACTTGGTGTCGTGGTGCACACAGAAAAGTAAAACAACAATTAAAAACACAGATAGAGAAAAATATTAAAAATAATAAAAAAGGAAAAAAATATGAAATACAAATCAGCAGTAATAATTTCCATCCAGAATTTGACTAAACTTTCTTAAAATTAGATACAATTATGCAAAATTGTGTCAAAACCTTTATGTGTGTAAAATTAAATACAATTATACACACAGATAACGTTTTTGACACAATGATCACTTGTACTTTTATACTTTAAGGACAACAAGATTTTGATCCAGGATTTTTACTTGTAATTAAGTATTTTGACAACAATGGGTATTGGTACTTTTATTCAAGTAAAGCCTTCTTCAGCCACTGATAGCCACCCCCCTAGATAAAGAGGGCAAACTGCGAGTGCTCACCTGTGCTCAGGGGAGAAGTTGTTGGCATCCTGGCTGATGGGGGCGCAGGGCACGGCGAAGGGGGGGCTGTGCACAGAGAGCGCCTGCTGGTTGGGGGAGCCTGCGCTCGCTGTGATTGGCTGCTGTACGTGCACTGGACGTGTGGGATTGGCTACGTGGGAGTGAGGAGGGGGGGTGTGCGTGCTGGAGGGGCCGCAGGGAGAGACCGGCGTGGAGGGGGGGGTTAATGGCTTGAACCCGGGAGAGGGCTTCCTGTCACAGGCACTGAGGAGACAGAGACAGTCAGAATCAAGAGGATATCCAGCGGCAGCCATCGTGGTCTTTGATAAGACATGAATTCATAGAGCCCCTTTCAAACATAGATAAGAGTGAGAGTTAAAGGCAATACTGAACACACAGGGCTTCACCTCCTTTCCTCTTAGGTAGAAGGAATGCATTGTTTTTGAAGCATTGTTAAAAAAAGACTTTTGTTTGTTGATTTTTTAAAAAAGCGTCAGGGATGTAAGAGGCCTTCGAGGATTATAAAACAAAGAACAACATGTAGTAATGTTGGCCAGACTTATACCATTGAGAGCCTTGTAAACAAGCAAACATAACGTTAAATAAAGTAGTTAAAACATGTTAGTCTGAGGAAAGGATAACACCCAGGCGTGTGACTTCTGGTTTGAACCGTGGGGCTAAAGCAGCTTTCTCTCTGATGACCCAGGACATACCTGTAGCTGTAAAGGCACTTCTCTCCGTAGGGCATGGGACTCCTGTCCTGGCGACAAGGAGAAAACTCTTTGGCGGGATTCAGCTCGCGTTTGATCTTGGCCGGTGGCTGGCCATGAAACATCACTGGAGACATACAGAGAGAGAGCATTAGACCAACTCCAGATATCACCTAATTGAAGCCATGAACAGAAGTGCAGCAGTTCTCTTAACCACATTTGGAATTGATGGATAAATGGACGACGTCTGTGTATTCCCTCGACTGACAGACACTTAGCAGCAATTTATCATCCGCTCTAATGACAGTGGACTCTGAACACACGCCATCAATCCAGCGCTGCTAGGTAGCACAATACTGACTGCACTACACACACAAAAGCTATCAAAGTCCTCGTCTGATTCCCATTAGGGCCCGCCAATACCAATACCCATGAATCAGTGTGGCTGTAATCTAATGGCGGACAATGATTTTCTTCTCCCGCGCTGTAACCATTAGACACTAGCTGCTGCTGCTGCTCTTTGCGTATCGGCTGCAGTTTCCGGGGCGCCACATAATAGCCGGGCAGAAACTGGATCCCTCGGCGCAGAGGAGCCGGGGGCCAAATAAATCAGCGCCGTGCTGATGGACCCGAGCAGCAGCAGAAAAGTAAGTAATGAAGACGTCAGGCTTCTTTTCTTACTCTACACAAACGGGCCTGTACTAGATCTTCATCGCTCCGTTGACAAATAGTTCATCACCAACTATGTTGACACTTGATCACCCCTTTAAAGCCATTTTTTGTGCCATTTAAAAAAAAATGTAGACATTTATCTGATCATAACTATTTATGTACACATTTGTTTATTTTTGTTTATACTGTCACTTGTATTTTTAATGCAATATTCAAATTATCCTCATTTGAACGCTTGTCGGTCCTCATGGGGTTCACCTTTATTGCATTTTATACTATAATAAAAGTTGATATTTTGGAGTTTTGGGCTGATTAAAACTAGACATTTTAAGACATCCTTTTGCGATTTGAGACATTTTTCAGCCATTTTTTTAAACTATACTTCTATTTCAAAATGAAAAAAGTCATTAGTTGCAGCATTAGACTTTAACCTCTGACCTCAACACATTAGAACTACACATACTATAAACCGATAGTGCTATTCCACTCCGAAGCAAATTTGATATGGTTCAGCTCGGGTCAGTGGATGTCGCTTCACCCCATGTGATGTCCTACTGACTGAAGCTCGCATCGGAAAATGTGGTTCTGGTGAATAGGCGACTTTGTGAGAGGGAACGGCCTGCAGCACGGCAACAGAAGTCACTGCCAACATCTCTTCTCTGTATAACACACACACACCGGAAACTAATATTCCAAGGTCATGGACCCACACCTTCCAGTAAGCAGACTATAAACCAACAAACGTAGATTGGGCGCTCCATAAAAATGCATACATGTCAATGCATCGACCTCAATAACATGTTGCAGCACTCAAGGTCAGTTCGCAGCTCGCTTTACCACATTTGCAAAGATGTTATAGAGTAGCTACCACACCCCGTCTGCACCTCCTACGCATCAGACGAAAACATCAATTTAGAAGGACAGAGGGGAGCGGAGGAGGTCGTAAAAAGCTTGATTGGGCATCATTCAAACATATCCCTCAGCTGCAGCCTAAAGGAAAGAGGAGGCTGTATGGAGGAGCTTCAAGGACAACGGGTTAAGATGTTTTGGGGATGGGTTGTGTAAAGCGAGACAGATCTGGAGCTATCCGCTGGAATCGAGCCGCCTCAGCAGCCGGGCCAGAGTGCGGGGAAGTGTGAAATCAGATTAGGAGCTTGGCTCATGTGATGCCCCATGCCAATCGGCTGATTACACTCAAAATGGAGGGGAGGGAGGAGAGCAGCCTTTCCCAGAGCTGTGCTTGGGAGAGTTGATGAAGACATTTCGATGAAAGAGAGGTGCCCTGAGCATACAATCAGAAACAGCACTTTGAGAAAAGCACACACCAGAAGGTGGTGAGAAATGCCAGAATAGCCACTGCAGTTTGAATCCCTCTGCCAAGAACCAGGCGGAGCTAAAACACCGACACCATGGCCACGGATCGACCCGGGAAATCAGAACAATGTAAATCAAGTACTCACAGCTATCCGACTGGAAGTCTGGGACGAACTGTTCGTCATCGGGCACCTGGGCTGTGAAGACATAAGAGAGGGTTTCACATGAGAACAATCCAGCTTTCTCACAGCCAACATCCAAGACACTATGCCAGAGAGCGGGAAGTCATCTCAGTGGACATGGAGAGAAAGTTACTTTTAGAAAAACAGGTCAGCAGTTTCTCATGCAGAGGACTTTGCTCTTCGTGCACAAATAGCTAACACACAAAAAAACAATAGTTCACATTCTTATCAAGTTAATCTTTAATGAAAATACTTCATCTTGTTCACTATTTAGAAAACAAATAAGACTAAGAGATGCATGTCAAACATTAGAGATAATACAGGACCGTTATCCCAAAAAAAGAAAATGCCAATATAACTTTATTTATAAAATAACTTACCTTCTGCGATCCAGATCTCTTGAAGCTGACTTAGGTCTTGGAAGAGATCTGAAAGTGAGAAATGAAATAAAGGTTTAAAAGATCCTGTTGTTTAAACGTGATTAATTACATTGTCGTTAATCTGTGGATTATTGGTTTGTTTTGGTCGAAGAAACATCAATCAGTGTTTCCCACAAAGAGAACATTTCTTAAAACGTCTTGTTTTGTACACAACGTCAAATATATTTAGCTTAATGTCACTGAGGAGTAAAACACCCAGAAATAATTCACATTTAAGAAGTTAAAATCAGAAAAAGTTGAGTTTTCTATAAAGAGCTGGTAATTCATTTTGTAATTTACAATCATGTGATGAATCTTTGCAGCTCTAGTTATTGCAGCTAAAATATGAACTGTTTATTAACATCCTGACGTTTACCTTCTGTGTCCTGGGCGAGCTCTGTGTCCACAAACTTCCTCTTCCTGTCGCTCACAGGCCTGATGTGAGAAAGCTCCTCCACGTGAGACTCGTGCTGCTGGGAAAGAAAGGATAGAAATGTTGAAAAAGGGAAATACAAGTGTGATTGGAAGTGATCTTTAGTGACCAGCAGGAGAGGAGCTGGCATGTGTCCACTTACGCCGGGTGGGACCATAAATGGGACTTGCTGGTCGTAGAATCCGTCCATGTTATCTGCTTGATTGGAGGGAGGGGGGGGGGGGGGGGGGGGGGCTCCGATATTTGGGGGGGAGGGGGAGGTGTTCGCTTTAAAGCGACAGCGCCCGGGTCACTTTGAGGGTCACTGGAAAACACAAGATTGGAAAAACATACAGCAAGGGGTCACAAAGGGTTGTTTTCTGCAATAAATGAGTTTCTTAGCGGCTCAGGGGGAAATGTGTTTGATTTGAACTGTAAATTACAAACTTACGGATTTTAAAGTTTTTAGCTGCTGATAGTTTGCATAAAAGTCAAAGTTGTAAGATTAACTCACATCAAATACTATTTGTACAGTTATTATGTAGTTTGTTTTGGAAATGAATAACGCAGCTAGCCTGACCTATTGTGTTTAAGTAACAGGTATTGGTTGTATAACATGAGCCTACTATTCTAAGTCACTGAGAATTGAACAACTTTACAGTAAAAAGTGTTTCTTTGTGCAGGTTCTGCCTGAACACATGTTCCCTGTCTTACATTTAACTGTAGGCGTTTACATTATTTGTCATTTGAAAAAAAACAAAAACTTTTATGTCCACGCAACTGATTTAAGATACTGATATTTTCACTCCTATGTAATGAATGATTTACAAGCTTTTGAATACAAATATAATCTTGATATTGCAATATTTACTCCCCCGCCTGTACAAAAGATAAGGGTGAACACAATTTCAATGTCAAATATGTTATTGCCTAATGTTTTGCCATTACTAATGCCATGCCGTGCTTCAGTATGTTGTCATGTGTTTATATAGCAGCAAAGGGGAGGCCACCAGCATCTACCAGCTTGTTATTTAACCAACAGCCCTTTGAACTGGGCCATACGAGTGAGAAGCACAATGTAAACACACGGCGCATTTAATACACTTATATAACACTCACTGGCCATCTGTGGGCACTACTTTCCACTATAATCAGCTTGGAAATGTTGAGGAAAAAACCTGAAAAAGAGTGATTTCCACCATTTAAGAGTACATCTACACTTAATTGTGGCATGCACTGCAACGCAAACACTTTCAAAAAAGACCAGTAAAAGAGTTTATAGAGGCTTACATCTACAGTTGTGAGGTAATATTGATGCTACGACTTGGAGAACGTGAACCCTCGATGTAGTCAGACACACTAGTAATAAGAACATCCCTTTGAAACAACAATAACAGAAAAACTAAGCCACTAAATCTGCCCTCTCTTCTCCCTCAGCAGGCTGATATGAATCACTTGATATCTCCTGTTAATGGCTGACGAATACAGGATAGCTGCAGGGCAATACTTACTGACGCCTAGCACATATTACACTTACAACATCAGGACTCACTGTACTTTTCTCCAAGTGGATCAAACAACCAAAGACGGTAGTAGCACGTCAATAAAAAGTAGTGCTTATTTTTGGAAAAAACAACAGTGATGAGCTACTGACGATAAATGAAAGCAGAGTAGCTTATAATACGGTTGAAGTGTAGGACAATTAAAAGTAGGAAGTGGTACATTTTAATAGCATTCACACATTGCAAGAATTTTACTGCTAAATGTGAGCCAAAAAAGTAGCTTTATTCGAAATAACAGTGATGAGCTACTGAGGGTAAATGAAAGTGGAGTATATCATAATAAGGAAGATTAAATCATGAAGGGGTCCTAAAACGCACCAAAGTTTTCACACGGTTGGTCTGTATTTTTTTCACTACGGCTTCACAGGCATTGCCTAATGAACACAAAAGTTAACTTGTTTAACTGCGTATTTCCAACCAACTTCTATCACTACGGTGAATGTGTAAAAATGTGCACATTTTCGCAAAAGTTTTGCTTTGAAGCTGGGGAGTAAGGGGGTGCCCGTGGTGCCCCCCCCCCATTACTCCTCCTCCTCCTCCTCCCGGCCCTTCCCCCACACATCCCTCCCTTGTTTTTCTCAATGAAGTGAAACTCGACCCGTGTGGAAACAGAGGAGAGAAAAAACGGCCCGTCCATTCATAAAAAAAAAAAGGAAAAATCACAAACAGTCGCGCTCGCGCTGATAACCCAATCCCACGCAGATAAACTAAGAAGATTAAACACACGCTGTTCGGTTTAAATACAACACACAACATATAGGTTACACTAATACGAGCAGATATAAGATGGTTGTCAAAGTAAATATCTTTAAATAAGATGGCGTAAGAAAAATAACGACCCCGTAACACGGCTTCAAAAAAAAGAGAGCAAGTTTTCGCATGAATAAATAATGCAACTTACCTTGTTTGTGTGTATAGACGTCCTCTTTAGAGAGAAAATGCGGTATTAATATCCACAAATATAAAAACAAAGTGTCTGTAGTCGAGTAATTGTCTGCGCAATGTTACAGAGATGTGCCACCTTCGACTCACAAAACTCGACTGAGCTTTTCGTTAATGGCCCGGTCGGTTTTTCCCTTGGGCTCCAAGCGGCACGCAGAGACGGCCGCTGATTGGTTGAGCCACCCTGTCCGTCAAGTGAAGTAGCCAATGGCGTCTCTGGAGGTCATGAATTATGCATAATCTTCGGTTTGGCCAATCACAGCGCAGTAGGAGCCTATTTTTATGAATGGCTGGATTTCATTCACATTTTTTTCAGCCACCAATGCCAAGATGTGTTTGTTAAAGGGCCAGCTGCAGTGGAAATGTACTAAAGATCGACCCTGTGGCAACGTCAGTCTCACGCAGACTTTCCCTTGACCCTAATGATAGATTATAACACTGTGAGGACACATTTCATTAAAATTGACACACTTGTATTAAATTAAAGTAATTTAAAACTGCATAGCAATGCAACAGTATGAATGACGCAAATGGTTGAGGATTACAAAGGATTATTAATGAGAGAATGTATTTCAAGGACACGATAGAAATGAATGAATCATGGAAAGTAGAGAGGCATTACAATCATGAAGCATGACTGGCCGTGTTTAAATGTTTACACTTTGCTTGTTTGTTCACTGTCTTTAGACACAACACATAATTAACTTCTGTCAGCAGTTATATTTGCACACAATCTGATTAGTTTTAAGCGAAGAGGAGAAACGGTGATGATGAGGTTAGTTAATCTGTTTATCAATTTATTGACGCAAAAGGGAAATAATTAACTGATAAACAATCTACTTTTTATTTGGGGATTTTCTAAAAACGTTTTAACGCTGAGTGTGTATCCCTCTTTAGTATATTGTATTCTTTTAACATTGTGGTTTACATCCTTGTGTGGAAATCCTGAATCATGGCCTGTACAATTTAAAATGTCAACCAGGTTTACAAATATTTGAAGGATACTCCTCAGTGTGCCAATCACATGATAATATTCAGATACTTTTCTTAGTGGCAAATATAAGTAGCTCCCCAGAAGATGAACCACTTCCATCAACTTTCTTTTCTGCAGCAATACAAATATCAAACATTGAACTTTGTACTTTCATTACCATGATGTTTGCAGAGTAAAACAATGAGTGCCTGACTTGTTGTTTTATCAACATCGTGAACTTTTCTCCAGTTTCACCATTGGGCGTAATTTGAGACAATGTGCCTCTGGACACAGACGTGCAGCAGACCCCACCTCCTCTCCAAGAAACAAGAATCTGACTTGAGAGATGTTAAGCCTGTTTTTGTTGTTGCTCTGTGATCATTTTGTGTAATCTGTGTCTCTGCAAAGGTATTTTGGGTCTATTGTGTCTCTTTGTCGTCATTTTGTGGCTTTTTTTGGTCACAGTCTATTTGTGGTACATACAGTAGTGTCAATTTGTAGTGATTTTATGTCACTTTGTAGCCATTTTGCATGTATTTATGGCCTCTGTGATTCTATTCGTTGTTCTTTTGTGTCGATTTGTGCTCATTATTTATCATTATTATTATTATCATTTGTGTCTGTTTTTGGTAAGAATGTGACACTTTGTTGTAGTTTCGAGGTTCTTTGTTGTTATTTTTTGTTTCTTTTTGGTAATTTTGAGTCTCCTCCTGGTAAGTACATGTCTCTTTACATTACATTACATTCAATTTCATTTGTTAGACGCTTTTATCCAAAGCGTCTTACAGTCAGTACTGTGGACAATCCCCACAGGAGCAATTTGGGGTGAAGTGTCTCAGGGACACAACGACATGCTGACTGCAGTGGGACTCGAACTTGCTACTTGCTACCCTCTGATTCCTCCGAAGTCCAGAACACCACCCACTGAGCCACAGCCTCCACTTTACATTAGCTAAAACCGTGGTGGCTCCTGACATGTTGGACACCTGGCTCTTTTCCCGCTCATCTATGTTCAAACAAGTGTTCTTCAACTATAATAAAATCACCAAATTATCAAGTTAGACATTCTGTTCAGATTGATTTCTCTGTCCCCTCTGCAAAAAAATGTATTGGCAGAAGAGCGTTCATGTTCAAAGCCCCAACAGACTGGAATACTTTACCTGCTGCTATTAGATCTCTTGCATCATTGGGTATGTTTAAACATGCATTGGCATCTCACTTTCAACTGGTCTGTAGTTATAAACTCATATTGATGAAACTGATTTGCTCGACTGTATCAAATTGTAATGATTGTGTGCATTGCTTGAGTTTCACTTAACAGACTGTATGTGGTTTGTCTTGTGTGTCATGTTTTGCATTTTGTCTTTTTGTTTATGTATGTCTGTAAATTGTTGCTATTGTCGGGACTCCCTTGAAAACGAGATGGTGCATCTCAAGGGGTTTATCCCAATCAATACAAATGTCTATATATACCCTTTACTTCTACTGTTTTAAAATAACAAGCCATCCTACATGAACTGTGATAAAGCATTGAGAGAAAATAGGATATGAGGACATGCGTGTGACTGTTTGCACGCAAATATGCATGTAAGGAACGGCTGTTGAAGCCCAAAGGTCAGAGGTCAGGTATAACCTTTGTCATTATCACCTCTGTCCCCAAATTAGGAATCCTGCATACAAACTCTGTGGCCCCACACACACACAGATTCCAGCAGCTGGTATGAAAACTATAATCCCCGTCAAATCCCTGCAGCAGTGATGCAGAGATTATGAGCCTGCTGCAGAGGCAGTAATAGAAAGAACAGGCAAACATGCATGTAGTGACACAGGACCATACAGAGCTATCTTTGCTGTTCATCCCACAGGTCTAAGGCCAAAGGCAAACAGCTTGTCTTACAGGATATGAGCTCCATTTGGAGGTGTAGCGCTTACATCGTGGAGCTGCAAGACCTTAAAAAGACCTCGAAATATATAAATATCTGTGTTTAAAGCCTGCAGGTCCACTGTATGGTGCGCCTCCTAGCTGCTGCGGATGTGGTGGGTGGTCACTTGGAGGCGTGTGGCGAGTGAGCACATTGTGTTGCTGTTCTTACTCTTTCCTTAAATAAATGTGCCATATGCAGCGGGTGACATGCTGCCTGAGTACATCCCTCCCTCTCTCTCTGGGTGAATGTGAGAGTGGGTGTTGCGAAGGCAGGGTGAGATTGAAGGCGCTAATTTCCTGTTCCCTCGAAGACTACTGTAGGTTAGTGTGACACTGACATAAGAGCTAGGTCAGCACAATGTGTGCTAATCCTGTTTGAGGATCCTTCACTAAACCAGGTGAGGATAACATGAAAACACTACACCTGAAAGCTCTGAACCATGATCCTGGTCTGATGCTTTACTGCAGACAATCTATCACTTTTTGAAGTTCAAAGGTGTATTCTTTACAGCAGTTAGAGAAAGTAAAAACTAAATATGTCATTTTAAAAACAACAAGGGCATAACTGGGTTGGTTGTAACACTTTTTACTTTAATTTAAAGAGGACACATTATTCAAAATGTTAGGTTCATATTTGTATGTAGTGTCTCTACTGGGACATGTCTCCATGCTTTAATGTTCAAAAAGCTCTTAATGTTTCTCATACTCATTTTCACCCTCTGTCTGAAACCAGAGCCCAGTCTGCTCTGATTGGTCAAACACTTAGAGATGTCCCGCCCCTTAGCCTATCACGTACAATATGTTGGATTGTAGCCAATAGAAGGGATTTTAGCATTTGCAGACCATTTACATGCACTAAAACCTATATAACACAATATTAGGACAACCCCAAAAGCATAGGGCCTCTTTAAATCCCACCAAAACTGTAGATTACCTAGCCTAATGTTTCAGATAGTAACAGAGTGACTTGATTTCTTACTTGGGCATACAAAAAACAGGAACAAAATGTGTAAAATCGAACTCTTCAGTCTTCAATAGCTACCGACAACCAACTCTCAACAGTCAACTTTAATTTAAAAGTAATTTAAACCACTACATCTACAACTACATAAACACATAGCTTCTTTCCTTTTGTTATTGGAGCTCTTATATATATTCTCAGTCCCTAATCCGATCAGTGAACCCGGCCTTCACAGCTGAGACTCAGCAATCAGGTGTCCATTTTAGGTAGCACTTTCCTGGAGCGTCAGCTTCAGCGTCAGACAGGCTAAGACTGACAAAGACATTGGAGTCCTGCGGGAGTCAGAGACTGACAAAGACATTGGAGTCCTGCGGGAGTCAAAGACTGACAAAGACATTGGAGTCCTGCGGGAGTCACAAGGGAGGCAAAGAGGAGGCAAATCCTACTTTGATTGAGCTAAAGTATCGCTGGTGTTTTATTTTATTTGGTTGTTTAGCCCCTCATGCTATAATCATGTGTATTTTCTCCATTCCTGTTTATGTGTCTTCTCGCAATTATCACTGGCCCCGTGTATCTCGTAATCGATATAACCGGCCTGCTCTCGTCTATCCCACATGCTCCACTGAGATCCAACATCTAGTTTCAGGTGGCCTGTGGAACTGCCAGTCAGCTGTTCCTAAGGCTGACTTCATCTCTGACTACGCCTCCCTGCAGTCCCTGGATTTCCTTGCTCTCACTGAGACCTGGATTACTCCATCCAACACATCCACCCCAGCAGCTCTCTCCACAGCATATTCCTTCTCCCATACACCCAGACCCACTGGCAGAGGAGGTGGCACTGGTCTCCTGCTCTCTCCCAAATTGAGCTTTTCCCTCTTCAAGCTACCTAACTTCACTCCTTCCACCTTTGAATTCCATGCCGTCACAGTAACCCATCCTATACAACTAACCATTGTTGTTCTCTACCGTCCACCAGGCGCCTTGGGGGACTTCTTGGAGGAATAAGATCATCTCCTCTCACACATCCCTGAAACTGGCCCTCCCGCTGTACTTCTCGGAGACTTCAACCTCCAGACGGGGAAGATAGACGAACTAACATCTCTGTTAACCGCCTTTGCTTTCTCACTGTCTCCGTCCCCACCGACTCATAAAGCTGGCAATGTCCTTGATCTCATATTCTCAAGGAACTGTACTACTTCTAACCTCTCTGTAAACCCGCTCCACACATCCGATCACTTCTTCATTTCATTCTCTACCCC